ACACACACACACACTAGACAAAACATAATAAACAGCAGTTAATATATGTTTTAGTTTCCTTTATCTTATCGTAAACAGAGAACTACTTTAGGCAATAAAGTTGCTTTAAAATTAAAATGCTTAGAGAGCCTGTGACTCCCATTGATGCATGCAAAACCTGTAGATGATTGCAGAAAGACACTAAGTGTGCATATTTAGAGCACTGCTTCTTAACCTAATGTCACCTTAGAAATACTTCAGGGTCCTCAAAACAACCCCATATTGTGGCCCAGACCAGACCAGCTGAGGTGCATCTTTGGAATGAGGCATTGGTATATGAATTAAATTTCAGAGATAGAAATAAGGTGTTGTTAAAATGTATATTTTATATGGTTTTTTTCCAGTATATTATATAGTTCACTTCCCAATTCTTTGGGGTTCTTTTCTGAGCATTATATTTAGCATACAGATTTTTCACTTCCATTCATATGTATTTACTTAAAAATAAATCATCAGATTGGTACAAACTACAGAGAGACTATAAATAGTTTTATATATTTAAAAAAACTGTTTTTTAAATTTCAGCTGCACCCTTTGCCCTCTATAAATACACAAAGAGATGTACCTCTTTTGTCCTCTGTTAAATATCTCAGCCTTTTGTAGACTTTTTTTTTTTTTCGGAAAATCATTAATTGGATCATCTCTATAGCACACACATTTTAACGGCCCACAGGAAATGTTTCAGCTGTTTACTGACACGCTCTTATCTAACTGGTAAGGTTGATATTTTCAGTCTCCTCAGTTCCGTTCTGCAGCGGCAGCAGCAGACCTTTGCTGGAGGCTGACGGTGGAGGTTTTAGCATCCCAGTGTCTCCATCCCCTTTCCCCCCAGATTGCAGAACAAAGGTGGTAGCTGAGTAACCAGGAGAGCAGTGATGTGGCACTAAGTTCTCAGGATTTGAGTTGTAGCAGCTCCCTCTGACCACCAGAGGTCTCCCGAGCCTGCATGAGTCCTGCAGGCTGTCTTCTGTGCACAGCAGACCGCTCCAGCAGGGCGGCTTTTCCTTGAAGCTCCATCAACCAGCATTTTAACATGAGAGCGCTGAACTTCTTAAAGTCCGCTTTTTGAAATTTTACTTCTCTTTCCATCTAGACAGAGAAAACAGCATCTCAGGCTAAGAGGGGTAGGAAAGCCGGGGAAAATGAGTTCCATAAAGTGGCAGTGAATTCCCTCAAAGGATAAGCGAAAGGCAGACTTCTTTGCAAGTTCAGAACAAACTAGACCGTTGCTTTCCACCTTAGATCTGAATTCCCTGTCCAATTAGTGGTAATCTGATGACATTGTGTTAAACGTGATTTTATAATGGTGAAAAACCAGTGCTTTACATACAAACGACTTAGCACATAGTGAATGTAGATGTTATTTGTTACGCACAGTTTGGCAGCATGCCACAAGTCATATCATTACTTTGACTATAAAGACATTAATGTTCTTGTGTTTTCTTCTATACGAATCCAGCGTTCATGCATTGTCAGCTTCATGCCAAGCAGAAAGGTACATTTCTTGCCTTCAAAGTTTAGTCTCTTGGGAAATCATTTAATAGAAAAACTGTGTCGTAATAAGAATATAGTTTGAGGACTGGGCAGATAGTGGCTTTAGTCACCAGTGCTGGCAGCCTGAGTTCAATGACTGGGATTCCCCTGAGCTGTCCTCTGAGCTCACACATGTGCCATGATAAGTGTATGCACACATAGAGTAAATGAATGTAATTTTCAAATTTGTTGAATAATATGGTTGGAAAGGGCCTAGGGAGATGGCTTGGCAAATCCTTGCCTTGCAAGCATCAGAACCTGAGTTCAGTCCCCACACCCCGCACCCCACACCCCACACCCTGCACAAAAAGCCAGGCACAGTGGTGCCTGCTTATAATTGTAGCACTGGTAAGGTGGAGACAAGCAGCTCCCTGGGGCTCCCAGGCCACCAGTCTAACTGACTTGTCGGTCTCCAGGCCAGTGAGCGATGCTGAAAGCTGTACCTGAGGTTGTCTTCTGGCTCCCACATCCGCACAGGTACGCGGACGTACACACACATGCACACACACACACACACACACACACACACACACACACACACAATGGTTTGAGGTTACATATGTGTGTCAGTCTGTGATCTTTTGTAGCACAGGCACCTAGGAATCTACCATTGGCATCTGTTCAAATTGTGTTGTGTTTTTTAGTCTGTCCCATTCAGTGGCTTATGAAAGAGTAACCCCAGTATTAATGACCTTCCTGATTAAGTTAGTATACTTGCCTTCTTGGGTTAGACTTAGTAAGGGTTACTGTTAAAATTAATCTAGATAACAAGTTGAAAGTGTGCTATTTAAATATATATGCTTTTTCTCTCCCTTTGTAATGCCAGCGCTAATTTTAATAGCAATTCGTATTTTGATCGCTAGAGGGCAGTAGGCACACATCACCCAGAAAAATCTTCTAAATGCAGGAAAGATGGGCTGTAAATGTTCTCCGCATCATGCATTATAAAGCTTTGTTTCCAGATGTAAAATTTGCTTGTTACAAAAGCGTGTGCCACTCTTCATGTGTAAAGGCCTCTGAAATCGCTTCAGTGGTTAGGGTTAGGGTTAGGGTTGGGGTTAGGGTTGGGGTTAGGGTTAGGGTTAGGGTTGGGGTTAGGGTTGGGGTTAGGGTTGGGGTTTGTCAGGACCTGTTAAACGGTCGTGTTCTTAGCCGTTTGCATTTGTTGTTTTTCTTAACTTCCTTTAGTTACCAGAACCTTCTCTTCACTGAAGAGCAGAAAATATATTTTAATGTTCAGAAGCATTTAAGAAAATGCTTCTGAAACAATCGTGATCCAGAGAACCGCACACATGTCCTGTGGGACCAAATACAAAGAGAACTGTGTGAACAGCAGTCTTTACACCGGTCTTCTGAAGTCTGATTGTTTTTTCGCAGTAACATACCCTCTCTCATGCCGTGCTCTAGTCTGGTTGTGATGTCCTTGTGGTGTGTTGTCCTCTGTGTCAGGATGTTCAAGGTATCCTCATGGGTGTTCTTAATGTGTATGCGGGTTATTACAGAATTGAGTTTCTTTCATCTGAGCAAATTTCATCTAGAGGTTTGTTAACTCAGTGCCTTGTCCTGAGGCCACTGATGTTATCAGGAGTCTGGGTGTCCTTCATATGGCTTTGCTCCCATCCCTGACTTGTTCTTTGCGCTGAAGGCACCTGCTGCAGGTCTAAATAGAACCTATAACCATGGCAAAGTCGGGTAGTGGAAGAGCGCTATCTCACATTTTCAGTGGTTTGCACTACTCGGGAGCTCCTACTCCTGGGGTGCTCGCTTTGGCCCTCATTTGCCACATGGGGTCTCTGCACCTCTCTATGAGATTCACTGGTAAGTGGGGGAAATCCTCATTGTGTGTGTGGACAGAGACATCAGGATTCTACCAGGTATCAGGGCCCTGAAAGGAAAAATGAAACATCCCACAAATTGTGGTATTCGCCAGCAGAGAAGAAGTGGGGTGGACCTGGGCAGGCAGGAAACAGGCTTTGCTCCTGTTTTGGACTTCGTTTTTGTGTGTTTCACATAGAGACTCTCTGGCCTGGTGTCCTGATATTCTCAAAATATAATCTTCATCTCTGCTCTTTCATGTGCATTGCTGTGGACAGAGTTGCAGGGTAGCCCTTAGTTATGGAGTCAGTATGGTTCAGCGTCTTGTTTTGTCCTTGCGTTGTTCTCCTCCTAGCACTAAAGGAACTAAGAACTTCGATTTCCTCCTCTGATTATTGGTACAACCGTGCTCAGAAAACAGTCGTTCTAAGCTGCTCCTTGAGTCCGGTAGCCTTCAGCAAATCCCGCAGCTGCCGACGCTGTGAGGGCTGGGCCAGCAGCTCCAGTTCAGCCATGCAGCCGGTGGAGTGCTGGGCACCCTTCTCTGCAGCTTTGCTCGGGCACCGTCAAGTGGCTGGAACCTAGCAATAGCTGTTCGTGTCCCATCAGAAATGGCACGGCTGTGCCTCTGAAGAACACAGAGGGCCCAGTAGCTGCTCCGTGGCAAAGACGGGCGCCTGGGGCATTATCTGAGTGTTTGGTTCTTATCGGCTTTCGTATTTGCTCAATATTTATTAATCAGCTCACTTAAAATACAGTAAGGCTTTTCTCTGTTTTGAAATGTTGATGATACTCTGTTATATGGTTTTAATAGCATATTGATTATTCATGAACTAGTATTATCAATTGTCATGATTTTTTAAAGTAAACAAATGCTTTTTTTACAGATCTGGGGTTTTTGTTTGTTTGGTTGGTTGGTTGGTTTTTGGTTTTTTGAGACAGGGTTTCTCTGTGTAGCTTTGCGCCTTTCCTGGAACTCACTTGGTAGCCCAGGCTGGCCTCAAACTGACAGAGATCCGCCTGGCTCTGCCTCCTGAGTACTTGGATTAAAGGTGTGTGCTACCACCGCCCGGCACAGATCTGTTTTTATTTTCTATTTTGTTCGTGTCTGTCTATATCTGTGTGGGATATCTTTGTCTGAGTGAAGGTTTTGAGGACAACAGAAGACATTGGGCCCCTGGAGCTCAACTTAGAGGTAGTTTCTGAGCTGCCTGACATGCCTAACAGCTGGTAGCTGAACTGAAGTCCTCTGCAAGAGCAGTGCATGCTCTTAACAACTTAGCCATCTCTACAGCCCAAGAAATACCACTTTTAAAGGGAGTAAGGCCAGTCAGTGAATGCCTTTAATCCCCACACTGGGGGGCGTAGATAGGCAGATCCCTGTGAATTCCAGAATAGCCAGGACTACATAGAGAGAGCCTGTCTCCAAACCAAAAACAAACAAACAAACAAACAAAAAGTAGTTAGTATTGGCGTAATGGCTAGATTGTTTGAACCCAATCTTTATGCCTTTTATTTTTCTGCAGCTTTGAAAGACATGTACTTGTCTGAGATTAAACTAAGTTTAGACACATTTTTATTAAAGATATTGCCTTTCTGTTTTTATTTTTCAGAAAATTGTGGATTCTTCTTCCCAGAAATAAAAAGAAATCTAGGCAAATATGTGCACCGCTGTCCTGATTCTGTAAGAAGATGGCTTCAAGAGCTGAAGGCTGCTGGGAAAATCACCATGCTGATCACCAGTTCTCACAGCAACTACTGTAAACTTCTTGGCACTTACATCCTCGGGTAAGTGACCAGCCATTCTTCGTGGATTTCATTGCTCTGCTTTAGGTGATCACTGAGGACTGACTGGAATCTTCCCTGGAATGCTGGGGCTGTTCATGGAAGATAGCAAGCCATGTGTTTTCACTTCTGTAAACAAGGTTGGCTGCCCCAGCTGCCCAGGACGTGCTTGATCACACACAGACAGGAGGTATGTAGGCAGGCAGTCCGTCAGGGTGTATGCTTGTCCCCAGTTGATCGAAGACAGAAGTATGTAGTCTTGTGGGTTTTACCTTTACGCTGACTAACTTAATTCACGGCCATTTTCAGAATCCCAGCCAGCATCCATGCCTAGCCAGTGCCCATCATCCTGGCCAGTATTTAATAAATTGGCTTCAAATCTGGCTTTTAAAAAATACATATATACTCCCCGCGAGATTGTAGGTATATCCCTGTATCCATTTCAGTGCAGATTCATGCACCGTGCTGTTTAGCAAAGCCAGCGATGGAATTAACATAAAATCAAGGCAATTGATTTTGAAAAGGGATCAACATGATTCAGGCCCTTCTTTATAACTACTTGTGTGGCCTGGGATACAGTTTGTAACTTCTTTGAGCCTTAATTTCATTGTCTTAAACTATTAAACAATTCCTTATGAATATAAGGGCGTATTTAAATAGTATATACAGTACATGCTACCCATACATATTGGACAGAATAGCTGATAAGCTTTAATAATTGTTAAACTAATATACCTCATCCTTGGCAATACCGGGAAGGCCCAGGATTCCACAGAGGGTTGTTAGATTTCTTCTAAGATTACAAACCTCAACAAACACAATTGCCTTGAGTGTGAACCAAGCCGTAGCCCCTCGGCTTACCTCCATCTTTAGCCCCAGGATTTCTGTGTTCTTTGGCATGTGTGCAGATTTAGTCTACTCTGTGGCATACTTACCAGGGAATGGATTTCCTGCTTTCTGAGAAATATGTAGGCAGCTTCCTTGCAGTGAACTCAAGCTGGTGTCCAGGGTCCCTGGGAAGGGCACCCCTTCAGGAGACCTTTGCAGCCTTGGTGTAGGACCATGCATGGGAACACCCAGGGCTTTCAGTTCCCTTTTCCACCATGGGTAACCAACATCCTGCTGCTCATCTTAATTTCTAGTCTCTACACATTTCATTTATTACCATATCCTGAAGTGGTGTTTCTCCAGGGTAATGGTGAGCCCCGGAGAGAACTGCCCTTCATCAGATGGCCTTTAGCATTGCAGTCCATATACACTGATGTTGTCACCTACAAATAAAGTAACTTCCTGTGTTTTGAACACTCTGAGAACTGTCCCTGGGCTTAATATAATGCTGCATTCTGTAGGACCCATATAGTACCAAATCCATGACTCTTCAGCTAGTAAGTACAGATGAACTCCAGCCCTCGTGTCTGTGAATGTGGACCATTTCCGGCTACTAGAGATTCTCTTGCTTGCCAGGGTGTTTTTACGACAGTGAGTTCCACATCTAGGTCAGCACTGCCTCTGTGCTCTTGCTCACTCTCTCTCTCTCCCTCTCTCTCTCTCTGTCTTCTTTCTTCTTTACTTGTGTTTCTTTTCTTTGTTATGTTTGTGTTTTTGGTAATTGTCATATTTTCAGACAAATTGGCTAGGACCCAACCACCTTCTCTTTCCAGCGTAGCTTCCAACATAGAGTGTATAAAGTAAACGTAAAGCATGTGAGAGTTGATCAAAAGATCAACATGGATGCCGTGATAAAATGCTCAGGCAAAGATTAGGTTCTGTTTTCTATGGAACTTTCTAATTCCTTAAGGGAAATCTACTTTTCTTTTTAGGAAGGACTTTGCAGACCTTTTTGACATTGTGATTACAAATGCATTAAAGCCTGGATTCTTCTCGCATTTCCCAAACCAGAGGCCTTTCCACACTCTTGGTAAGTTCTGTTTCGCTGTCTCTCATTTGTATCTTTGATGAACACCAAGTATAAAACACTCTGTTATATAGGGAACATCATGTCTCCTCAAGAAGAGAAGGAAAATATAAGCCTGCTTTTACATTAAATTTTACTCAGCTTTGCTTTATAACTCATTTTATATGGTAATCATTTGTTCACATGTCAGCCTCTCTTTTCAGTGACAGAGGGCAGGGATCGCTCCTGAAATGTTGTGATATAAGTAATACACTGCAAGTGCTTGAGGGGATGGGTTCATAAGTCAGAGTCAGCCATTTTGGGAGCAGAAGCCCCTACAGAATCCACAAAGATCAAAACAGCACTGGCACATATGCACACACACACACACACACACATACACACACACACACACACACACACATATACATGCACAAGGACACAGGCTTTCTCTGCAACAGGCCAGGCCTTCAGAAAAGGTTAGTGAGACTTGTCACAGTCATCAAGAGAGAGACCGGTGGACAGACAAGGCTGCATGAAAAGAGCAGACACTTTGCAGTGGAGAAAGAATTTTCCCAGCCCTATTTTCAATTTTTGGAGGAACTTCTATGCTATACTCATTTTCTAGTACTCAGTAGTATGCAAGAATTCCCTTTTCTTGATATCCTTACCATGTACTACTTTTTTAAATTCTCTCATATATTACATCCCAGCCACAGTTTTCACTCCCTTTCCCTCCCCAGTCTCTCATTCCTGCTTCCCCTCTCCCCCAGATCCACCCGCTCCTCCTCCCCTCAGAAAAGAGCAGGCCACCCAGGGACATCAACCAAATATGGCATAATATGCTACAATAAGACCAAACATGTACCATCATATCAAGGTGACTCAGTAAGAGGAAGAGGATCCCACAAGCAGCCAAAAGAGTCCAAGACACCCCCCGCTCCCACTGTTAGGAATCCCACAAGAACACCAAGCTACTCGGCCATAACATGTATGTAGAGGATGTAGGTAGGGCTGCTACAGGCTCCCTGAACTCTGCCAGCCTCCCTGAGTCTCGGTCAGTTGATTCTGTGAGCCACGTTCTCATGGTGTCCCTGTTCCCTCCGGTTCCTCTGATCCTTCCTTCCCCTCCTCCACGGGACTCCCAAGCTTTGCCTAATGTTTGGCTGTGGGACTCAGCATCTGCTGCCATTAGTTGATAGATGAAGTCTCTCTAGTCTTTTTTTTTTTTTTGGTTTTTCGAGACAGGGTTTCTCTGTGTAGCTTTGCGCCTTTCCTGGAACTCACTTGGTAGCCCAAATAAAAAAAGAAAAAGAAAACTTTCTGAAAGGAGTGAGGTGATAACTCTTTGAGCCTTTGACTTGCTTTCTCTTATTGATTAATGACGATGAACTTCTTCGTAGATTATTGGGCATTTGTGTATCTTTAAAGTAATGCTTGCTCAGGCCCTTTGTCTCAGGTTGTTACTTTTCTGCTGAGTTCCTTATGTGTTTACCACTCTGGTGGTGGAACCCGGGAGAATCAAGCCTAAAAATGAGGTGGACTAAAGTCTCGTACCATAACCAACTTTATTCAGAGCATCAGACAATTTATACTCCTGGGGTCAAGGAGAATCACATGACTAAGTGCTCATAAGTTCAAACTGTATGTAATCACAAGGACAGGCCACACATGGCAAAAACATGTTTTTCCATAGAGGCCTATAAAGGATAGTGTAAACAGTTAATTGAATAACAGCAGCAAGTAATCTGAAGTAAACTCACTCCTATCTGCTACACCTGAGAGAAGCACACATTCCAAAAGCAACTCTGTGTTTTGAAGAAACTGAAGTCACAAGACTTTTGTCTTGTTTCCTTGGAGTGTTCTCATGAGAACTCAGAATTCTCCTCACATGGCTCTGGAGATTCCTGGACCGTGTTCCAACACTCCCCACCCCCCTTTTTAAAGCAGGATTCCAGAGCAGTTTTGACTTGAGATGATGTAGATAAATCTGTCATTTGATGCATGAGTATCCTATAAGCAAGCAAATTATAAACATTAGGTCAGTGAAAACATTGTGTGTAATACTCTGCCACCAAGAACAAGGATTCAAACTATGTCCAGTTTTATTGATCACATCATTATACTAACTGGAAAAATCTAGAGAATGTCTTGAAAAGAGACCCATATGTAGTTCTGATATCTTGTATAATGTAAGTCCATGTTTGCCTTTAATAGGAACACAAATATTATGATGTCCTATGCAAATGAATGATTTCAATCCCAAGGAAAAATAAAATACAGTACCTTCTTCAGATGAATAAATGAGTCTGTTACAGTCCCAAGGTCCAGTCATAAACACAGAGTCATTAGTAAAGATAACAGGAGCTGGATCCATTCGATCTATAAGTTGAAGCAAAGGAGAATGAGGAACTTAAGACCAATACACATGCTCGGCAGCATTCACTGCAGATGCACAGGTCAATGGAAGATGAGGAACATATGACCAGTACATGTGCTCAGAGGTACTCACCGCAGATGCACAGGTCCAAGCAGCTAGCATTGCCAGAAAGAGATTCTCAGGTGACAAGGGTTCTGTGTGTTTACTTCTTCCTTGATGCATAGGGCCTTAACTTGGCCCCAGATGGGCAGACTTGGCTTCTGATGATATGGTTGATATCTTGTTTTGCCCTTTAGCTGGAGGTTTGCTATCTTTCTGGTGACTTCCACTGTCTCCTCACCTTCTGCCATTGTCCTTGATGGCCCGGGGCTGGAGGAGCCAGAGAGGAATCCCAAATGTCTCAGTGATCCATCTGTAATGACAGATGTATAAACCTCCCCAGTTTTCTTCTGGAGAAGTAGAAATAGGGCAGGTTAATGCATCAGCTTGCTTATTTCCTTCTGAAAACAAATAAAAATAACAGGAAAAGGTTGGAGTGTGCAGGAATATGAATCTATTGCTGGAAATAATCCTACAACATAAGCAGAATCTGACATATATTTAAGGGTTTATGAATTAACCATAATAAGTGAATCAAAGGGCTGGAGAGTTGGCTCAATGGTTAAGAGCACTGGCTGCTCTTCCAGAGGTCCTGAGTTCAATTCCTAGCAACCACATGTAATGGGATCTGATGCCCTCTTCTGTCATGCAGGCGTACATGGAGGCAAAAAACTGTATTCATAATAAATAAATCTAAAAAAAAGTGAATCAAAACAACCAGGTCCACCTGTTGGGCTGAGGAAAAAGAAGTATTAATAAATTGGTGACTATCTGGACCATGAATTCTTCCAGTACCCTTAGATGAACCATAAATACATTAAGTATCTGCCTGTGGAATGGGAGGAGGTTGGAGTCAAGTCAGCAGTTAGGATTTTATGGTCCTTGTGCTGTAAATAAATCCATCCCAAAGGTGTATCCTCTTGTGCTGGAGGAGACAATTTAGTGGGGGAAATAAGTAAGTTTAAAGTCAGTGAAGGGTCCACATGATTCACAAATTCAAATAACTAATTCTTTTCTTGCCTCGCGAGATAATATGCCAAGACTGTCCCATGCCGCTTCTCCTTCCAGAGTTTTAAATAGATTGGCTAGTGCATTAGAAATACCAAGCACCATTCATGAGGCCCAGAGGAGCTGGAAAAAGAATTCCATTCCCCTGCCATGCTCCAGCTTGTCCAGGTTGTAAAGTTAGCTTTCTCCTGGGCTCTCCTAAGTCCTCATCAGAAAAGTCGAGAGAATTCAAGAGTAAGTTGGTTATCACCTTCCTCACCCCAGGCTTCAGGGCCACCTTGGGGCAATGGAGGATGTCTATTTAAAGGAGGCTGAAGTAAAGGACCCAGGGAGCTGTCAGCAGCATAGCTTTACTTTCAATTCTGACTGAAGAGGGGAAATCTTTTTTGCCTCTTTTGCCAATTTTAAAGTTAGATCATCTAGTTTATATTCATTCAAGGAATTAGCCATCTCTTCCTCATGATTAATGTCTTTCTTACCACCCTTAAATATTTGAATAACAGTCCAAATTAATCCCCTTATCACCCTTAAATATTGCCCAAGTGACCCAAAATTGAACAGGGATTTTTTTCCCCTACTATATGTGCCTTTTCAATATTATTTTGGACTCTGTCCCATACTCTTACATCTAAAGTTCCTTCTTTTGGAAACTAGGGATTGTAATCATAAACAACTTGCAAGCAGTCTAATAGCTGTGATTTTAATACTTGTGCCCTCCTTTTTAAAAGTGATGCACAAGCTGAACATCAGGCAAAGCCTTCCGTGGTTCCTGGCCCATCATGCTCACTCGCCTGTGAGGGCCCCACTCTCTTGTCTCTTCGCTGACCGCAGGTCCCTGATTTGTGGCACCTCTTGTTTACCACTCTAAAGGCAGTGGGACATGGGGAAATGGAGCCTAAAAATGTGGTGGACTACATAAATAATAAATGCAATAGCCAAGCTTATCCAGAGCCTCAGACAAGTTCTATTCTGAGGGTTAAGAAGAAATCACATGAGTGAAGTTCTTATGAGTTCAAGCTCCGTACAGTCACAGGAACAGGCCATACACGGCAAGACAAGTTCTTCCATAGAAGCATAGAAAGGAAAGTGTGAACAGTTAATTGAATAACAGCAGCAAGAGACAGTGAGTCATCTGAAGTAAACTCACTCCTATCCGCTACAACCGGGAGGAACACAAAAGCATATTCCAAGAACAAGTCCATGTTTTGAAGAAACTGAGGTCATAGAACTCTTGTCTTGTTTTCCTGGAGTCTTCTCACCAGCTCTCAGAACTCTCCTCACACAGTTCCCTTCCTAGAAGGCATGTCCACTCTTACGCATTTCGGAGATCAGCCCCTCCCTCATTTGGGCTTTGCAGATGTATTCCCCCTCCTACACGTTGTCTTTCTACTCCACTGACTGTTCCTTTCGCTGTGTAGAAGGCAGCTTTAGTGTGACGTCGTAACCCATTTGTCCAGTTTTACTCTATAACCCCGATTTGGAATCCGGAAAAGTCTTATAAAACCTAAGTTTGTAATTCTAGTCTGCTCTTTCAAAGTCTAGATTGGTCTGTTGTGGCTTACGTAAGATGCCTAGAAACCTCCATTATAAATGTCTCTTCATGCTCACCATATAGATGTTTAGAAATGCCTCAGTGTCCGAGTGTGTCTGAGGTTCTTTGGTGCCTTGATCTTCTGGACTTCTGACAGAAAACATTTAAGTGGAAGATACAAAGAATCCTAAGGTCTGGGGATGTAAGGCAAATAGATGCAGTTGGGAGTGCAAGAGAAGATCTGTGGTGGTCTGTGTTCATCAGAGCGTGGCATTGCTCTTCCTTGAGAGCCTGTGGCTCATGCCCTGTCGCTGTGTTTACTTCCTGTGAGCTCTGCCCTCTCCAGCTGTGTCAGTGCCCCCACCCCACCCCCACCCAACCCGACACCCCATCCCCCCTTCGGTCCCCATCTTCCTGCTAATGATCGCAGCCTTTGGTGTGGGCATCTCCTTCCCTCTGCTGGCCTTCAGCTCTGTGGCTGCTTTTGCTCACTTGTGCGTGGATGGATAGGGCCCAATTTCTTGTCCTCTGACCTACAGAGATATAGTTTGACCTTTACGCTTTCCACGCCCCAGAGCAGGTCTGGAAAACTGGATTGCTCCCAGGAGCTCATCAGCCCCCTGCCCCTCAGCACGCTGACATTTCCTCGATCCCCAGTTCTCTCAGGAATTTTGCCAGCCACGTATCTTATGAAAATGAGGAGAACTCAGTTATTCTCTGGGTCACCCTGCTCCCCATCTGTCCTGTGGCTCGCCACTGCCCTCCTACCTCTGCCCTCATCTTCTGTCAGGTGGTTTGATGCAGCTCTGGTGTATGTTTGGGTCACTACACTCAGTCACCGAGCTCCAGCCCACATCAGCCTGTAACCCTCAAGCCACACTCCCTGTTAACGCTGCCCCTCAGATCAGGCCTCTGCTACGCCGCCAGAAGTAAATTAAATCTTTGTTCCAGTTAAAGGCAGAGAAGTAAAATGAAGACAGTGACCTTGCTGAAATAGAAAATTCCAGGAGCCGATCTCTGTATTCAGTGCGTCTTTGATGAGTGGCATGTGCCTGACGTCAGTGGTTGTCATGGTAACTAGAGAAGAGCTGATGGTGCTGTAGCCAATGGGGGCCCAGCAACTCTTTCAGCCTGATCCCTGCTGGCCTTAAGAAAAGTGTGGGGGCGAGAGAAGCATCATGTAGGCAGAATCTGCATCCTCCTTTTCTTCACTACGCAAAGCGAGACCACAGCCCTTACCAGGGCTGAGGTTTTAGGGAGGAAGGCGGGGATCTCCGTCTCTAATATTATAAATTTCGGATGGACCCAATTCCTGTCTGGCCACCGTACTGCCAACTCCCTCCCGGCCCCATTGTGGAAACTCAACATCCATCTCTGGTCCCTTGGCCTCAGCTGTTGTCAACACGTGGGCTCCCCATCTTTCTCTACATTAGTCTCCTTTCCTGACTCTCACGGGGTATTTTCTCCTGCGCAACATTCGCTTTCCTTCCATCTAGAAAACAAAGACGACCAAGCATGCTGATGAATCACCTTGTGTGATCGCCGAGCTGACTTAACCATGAAGCCGCCGGAGCCAGAGCCCCTTGTCCCCAGGCTTTCTTTCGCATGCTGCGCAATCCTTATGTAATCTCTCACCCTGCCGCTCTCCTCCTAACCCTCCTACCTCCCTTCTGCGGCTTTTCATTCATACTGACGTCAGTTTGCTGCTAAGCAGGTCAGTATCTTTCCAGTTACTCGCTTATTGGCAGGCACAGTGTGTATTTAATCACATCCACACAGTCATGTAGGTTCCCACTCCTTGTAAGCATCCTTTGGCTAATACGTTCTCCTTCTCTTCCCTAATGTGTACTGACTACAGTATCTCTGCTGAAAACATGGCCTTTTACTGCTCATCCGGGTCTTTGTCCTGGCTGCTCTCTCTGTCGCTGCTTCTGAGACAGTAGTGTACATACAGAATCACCTGTGCCTCTTGTTAAGATGGCGACTGCTTCCGTGGGCCCGGTGAAGCCTTGGGTTCTGCATTGCTAAGCTCAGAAGATGACTCTCTTAGGGACAGGAAATACAGGGGAAGCGCCCCCTCCTCTGTCTGGTGACTCCCTAGCCTTGCCCTATGGCACTCGCAGGTAGTAGGTGCTTTCTGGTCCTTCTCTAGAGCTCCAGGCGGTCCCCTCCTGGACATCAGGAGGAAGCTGCCTGCTGAGGTTTCTCTCCCACTGAGATGTGCCATCTATGGGTAGCAGCTGTGTTTAGAAAGCTGTCCTTAGCACTGTGCCCATAACACTGAAACATTACTGAATAAAAGTGGCCGAATCTGTCACTGTACCAGGTACAATTCCTGAGGCACAGCCGGATTACAGGTGTGTGCTTACCACATTGGGCCCGTGTGGGCTCTGGGGACCCAAACAAGGTCTTTCAAGAAGCACTTTTTCCAGTAAGCCATCTATCTCCCCAGGCTGTCTTCCTGGTTCTGATCTATTCTGTTTGCTCCTACTTACTAGCAAGCTGTTTGTTTTCTTTAGCAGTACAATGTTCCTGGTATAGCCCCTGTTTCATGAACTTCTCCTGAGGACACACAATTAGAACTACTTAGCCTAGTCAGGATGCCAGCAGAAACAAAGAAATAATTGTGCCAGTGAGTTAGTTTAGCTAATTAGGAGCCCATGCTCCTCTAAGTAAACCACTAAAAGAAAAAAATTTCTTTTTCTTCCAGCAGTTAAATGACTGACTACCTATCCTCAGGAAGGGGTAGGACTTCATGCCCCACCCCCACCCCCAAAAAAAGGGACAGTTAACGGACCCAGCCTTCTGCAGGCCTCCTGCCTCTTCCTGATGCCCACAGTTGCTAAGGGTTCAAAAGGCAGGAGCCATGTCACCCTAGAAAAGAAGTCATTAGTAGGATAATACAAATTAGCGTTTTGGTTGTGAGCCTAGCCTTTAACGGCTGAGCTATCCCTCCAGCCCTGAATTAGCATTTTAATAGATACTTTGCTTGAACTTTTTCATTCTACTCATGGCAAGAAAGATACATAAACTGTATGAAGATGTGCAGTGCTGGGTGGGGGTTGGGGGAGGCCCTAGCTCACACTGTGGAAAAGTTAAATGAAGCTAAGTGGGACCATTCATCAAGGCTCGCATATAGGAAGGAATCCTTGAAACAGCAAGACTTCCAACTAGGTTTAACATCATAATCCATGGCTAGTAATGTTAGAGACAGAGAAAGGATGATCTTGGTGTTACACAAAGGAACACATGAGCAAGGCAAAGTATCCATATAAAAATGGTAAGTTGTGGCTCAGAGCAGGCTAGCAAGCACTCGGGTAGCTCTTGAGATGGCTCCCATCCTTTATCCTTGCCGGATTGGTGACTCGATCTCATCCCATTGGCTGGAAGTTGATTTCATCATCTGCCACAATTGGCTAATAGTGCAAAGGAAAAGGGGAGGTTCAGGAAATATGAGTCCTTGCCAGACTAACTACACATCCATCATGACCTCTACCTTTCACATACAATGAGCACAATCTTCACGGTATTCTGCAGACTTGCTATTAAAAAATATTTTATATATGTTAACCATGACTTTGTCCTGCTTTTTTAAAAATAGATATTCCAATCCCCCACTTTTACAAGGAAAGAGCTGCAAATAGATTGTACACACCCTGTAGAATAAATGAGAATCTGAACTGGAAACAGAAATCAGTTACTTTCTCATCTCACTTCTTTTAGATGACTGGGTCTCTACATCCATTTGAATCAGAAATTTTTGGGGGGGCCAGAAATCAAACCCAGAACCTCATACATGCTAAGCAAGTTCTCTACCACTGAGCTATGTACACGGTACTCAAAATTTCAGAAACCATAATTCTATAGACTTATTTGTACGTCACAAGCAGCAGAAAGATTTCCACTGTCTTTGAGAAGTAAATATCTACATATCAAATCTAAGTCTACTTACTTACTGGGTTAAAAAGCCCTTGCCCATCAGCTGCCAGTTGTACATGCAGCTTTAATCATCTATATTTGTACTTTCATAAGTGTTCAAAGTAGTTTAGATTGGATAGACATTTACTTCATGTTATAGTGATATATATTTCACCTGTTGTTTTGAGGTTGATAGATTACTTCCCATTTAGCTGCACTGACCGTCATTTAGTCTACAAATACACATATAAGGTCATTTGTATTATAAGCTGAACACACATTTAGGGAGCCTGCTTATGACTTTTACAAGTAGAAATTAAATGTTAGCTTGAGGTACTTATCAGTACCAGAGATGCGGCTTTAATACCTGACTCACATAGCTTTTCCCATTCTGTACAAACTCTTGTTCTGTTCCAACATTGATTTTATAGAAAAGCTGACAAAACTTAAGCTTTAGGACCCCCTCAATTGTCCTTCTCAGATCCCAGTAGAGACCATGACAATTTGGTATTCATTCTCTAAAAGAGGATTCTTTGTATATGGCTGTGTCTCATTGAGAACATTCTTAGAGGCACAGCAAAGAAGCCAAAGGTAACAAAACCTTGATAAAGAGCAACTGTTGTGAAATGGAAAGTCATTGCATTCCTGGGAGAGGGGGGGCTTCTTCCTCCAGTGTAAATTTCCAAAGCTGTAAAAATGGCTACCAGAGTCTTGGATAACATACCACCTTTTTTATTAAACTTTATTAAACAGGCAGATTATCATCAGCCCCCAGCCTGTGTCCAAGGCATGTAATAGCAGGGTGTTAGATACAATCCAGGGTGTTAGATGCCCTTAACTTCCTTCACTAGCCCTGCTTTATCAGGGATAGGGAGAGCTGTGGATTAGGCAAAGATCAATAGCATGGTGGGAGAGAGAAGACAGTTTGGACCAGTTGGCACTCAGGCTTTGCCATCAGGTGGGCCTCCACTACTCCCTCTTCCTGCCCTAAGCTAGAAGTAGGGTGGAGTAATTGAATCCTCTCGGGGGCAATTTTGCTTTGTTTATTGAGACAGGGTTTCTCTGCCTAACAGTGCTGGCTGTCCTGGAACTCACTCCATAGACCAGGCTGGCCTCGAACTTACAGAGATCCGCCTGCCTCTGCCTCCCAAGTACTGAGATTAAAGGCATGTGCTACCACTGCCTGGCTGCAATATTTTTAATTAAAAAATGTATACAACGTATTCTGATCACATTTTCCTCTTTCTCAACCCCTCCCGAACCCTCCCTATTTCCTCACTAATTTAACTCCTTGCCCTTTCTTTCTCTCTCTCTCAATATAAACAGAAAAAAAAAAAAAAAAACAAGGAACATAAAGACCACACACACCAAAATATACAAGCAAAAGATCAATAAGACCGAAAAACAAAAACAAAAAACAACCCACAAAGCAATATGAGAAAAAAAAATTACCAACATACCACTGGGTTTTTGTGTTGGCCTACTACTCCTGGGCATGGGGCTTACCCTGGTGTGGTTAATATACCCAGCGAAACTTCATTAAAGACTACTACGTTTTCCTTCCTTCCAGTTGCAGATAGCTTCTTTGTTAGGGGAGGGACCCATGTCCACCTCCCCCTCTCAGTGCTGGGATAGGGCGCAAATTTTAAACCTGAATTTAACAAGCCACTGATAAAAGTCTATTCCCTCTGCTCTACTTCCCAAAAGACAGGATTAAATTGGGTTTCCATGATGATGTTTACTAAGTGAACCATTTTATTAAAGCAGAAGCAGGGTAACAAGCAGGTAAGGGTGCTTCCTGCCCAGATGGAGTACCCAACAAACTGAGTTTAAGCCATAGAACCCATTTAAGTTGAAGGGCAGAACCAACTCCTGAGATTTGCACCTCCAGATGTGCACCATGGCATGCATGTATGCCCATGCCTGTGTGAATAAATGTGAACACTCACACACACAGTGCTTCCTGAATGCACGAGTCCTTCCCACATGGTTTCCTTCTGTCCGTGGTCTGTGGCCCTGGGTGAAGCCCAACTAAAAAGTGGTTGTCAACCATATTTGCAGAGAACGATGAGGAGCAGGAGGAGCTGCCTTCTCTGGATAAACCTGGCTGGTACTCCCAAGGGAACGCCGCCCACCTTTATGAGCTTCTGAAGAAAATGACGGACAAGCCTGAACCCAAGGTAATTTCTGATGGAGGCAGAGTCCTGGATGCCCACATGCAGATGCAGACGGTTGTAAACAAAAGCATGGCTGTAAGTGGTTACGGTTAAGTATCTAGGTGGGTCATATGCCTCTGAGCATCTGCTGCGTCTCTTCTTTTTCCTCTTCTGACTAGATACACTTTTGGTAGGTACTTGGTCTTTATCTGTGACAGAGAAACAAGGATTCCAAAGAGGCCACAGCTCAAGGAAGTACATGATTCAGACACGGGATGCCTGAGAAATGGCATTCTGATAACACCTAATCAAAGAATATTTTATGCATAAAACAAGCAGTGTCTGAAATGGCAGTGGTTTACCAGCTTTCCCCTGAATTGCTTGCATTTGACCCCCTGTTCACACTGTCAAGGTTGGACATTGGTGTGTGTTTACACACAGTTCTTTCCTCTCCATGATGTATACCATAAGCCCAGTGAGCAGGAAAAACCACTGGGTAGCTGAGCCCTGGTCCAGGCTTTCTTAGACTCCTGAGAACTGGTCAGGGGTTCCGTGGACACAGGACCTAGATGAGGAGCTTCTGGTTCTTACCTTAACCTCACACTGTCTTCTGTGAATTGAGGGGTGTAGTCTGGAGCAGTAGGGCTTTGCCTCAGAATACCTGGAATTGTGGTGGGGGGGGGGGGAGCTTCTAAACTTTACATGCTGGAGCTATTCATTCATGAGTTCTGTTTCAGCAGATCCAGGGTGAGTTCTCAGGATGGATAAACTCATGAACAGTGGTTATGGTATGTGTTCTTAATAACAGGTAATCCCTGTAAGTTGTCAGTTTTAGTTCTAGAGGCAGATTTACTTATAGATGTGTGAAAATACACAGGCTCGCTTCTTCATTAGGAAAATCAAATAAAATTGTTTCTCATCTTCTGCCTTCCTTCCATCTTAAACAAACCTCCAGTTCAATTAGGACAAATAATTGGTCGGTCATCCGTGAAATTATTTATGAAGTTTAAGTCACTTACGCCATTTTGGTTCTCAGACTCTGATGCCTGTTGAGGGCAGTTTTTCTATTTTCTGTGCAGTGGCCACTGTTCTCACATCCACACCTTATTCAGAGCTTTCTGTCTGCATCATAGGTCGTTTACTTTGGTGACAGCATGCACTCAGATATTTTCCCAGCCCATCACTATAGTAACTGGGAGACAGTCCTCATTCTTGAGGAGCTTCAGGGGCAAGAGATGGAGAAGGCTGAGGACGCAGAGCCTCTGGAGAAGAGAGGAAAATATGAGGTAAGGGTCCTGTCTGTCCTTTTCTTAGGTGTTTGAAAACTGAAGCTGGGAATGGTGTCATCTGCCTGTAGTCCCACCACATGATAAGTGGAACAAGAGAGTCAGTATCTCAGGGCTAGCCTTGGCTACATAGTGAGTTTTATCCAGCCTTGGCTTCATGAGACCCTGTCTCAAAAAACAAATTATTCAGCCGGGCGGTGGTGGCGCACGCCTTTAATCCCAGCACTTGGGAGGCAGAGGCAGGCGGATCTCTGTGAGTTCGAGGCCAGCCTG